TCTCCCAGTGCAAGAGGCTGGAGGGTGGAGAAGGGGCTTGCATTAGGGTCCTACACACACACACACACACACACACACTCTCTCTCTCTCTCTCTCTCTCTCTCTCTCAGGGGATGTTGATTGATTGAGGGAATTGGCTCATGTGATTGTGGAGACTTGGCAGATCCAAAATTTGCAAGCAATATAGGCTGGAGGGCTGGGGGCCAGGGCCAGGTGCAGTTCAAATGCAAGGGCAGTCTGCCTGCAGAATCCCCTCTTGTTCTGGGAATCAGTCTTTTTCTATTAAGTCCTTCAAGTGATTGGACAAGGCTCACCCACATTATGGAGGGCAATCTGCTTCAAAGTCTACTGATTTCAATGTTAATCTCATCTAAAAATATCTTTCCAGAAGCATGTGGAATGTTTCACTAAATATTTGGGTACCATGGCCCAGGCAAGTTGACGTGTAAAGTTAGCCACCACAGTGGCTGTACTGTACCCAAACAAATTCAAGTTCAACAGTGGATACCACTGTCTGCCCTCAATTCTCAGTCCCTGTGGCCTGGCTGGTCCTCTCCGGTCCCTGCTTCCCCTCAGGAGCTCCCCTCTGCACTTTTTGGGTGCTCTATTGATTGCCAAGTTTCCTGTGTCCTTTCCCTATGAGGTTCTGTCACCTGCCTCAGGTACACAGATGGGAAGGGGAGGGACTGGCACCTGAACCCAGCTCCTCTGAGGTAGAGGCTAAGCTTGGAGCCCACGTACAGCTGCTAAGACCAAGGCACCGAAATGTGTCACTCTGAAACCCAATAGGCCAGCTCCCGGGCAGACATCAAGACACTTATAGACAGACGTTAACTTTAATGTGGGATAGGAAAAAACCAGGAACTAGCTCATCAAAGCCACGACTAAGGGGATATAATTCCACTGGACAGATCATATTAAAATAGGCGAGGAAATTAAAGCAAAGATGGACCCAAATAAAGGTGGCATGCGGGTCCACGGATCACGAGTGGGACTAAAGCTGGGTGAGCACTGGCCAGCGAGGACGGGGAGCTAACCTGCCCCAATCCCGCTTCTCACAGGGGGATGGCCCGAGCTATGAGAAGACACTGAGGTGTTTGTTTTCGCTTTTTCTAAAACCAGAAGAGTGGAAATCCTTTCCGGGACTTTACTCTTATTTCTCTGAGCTCAGTGAGGGAATAAAACCTATTTACCAGTTCCATCCAGAGTCAGGCAGAGAGGCCTTAATTCCCAAGTGAGACTCCACCCCACAGGCTGAAACCCGACCTGTGGTGAGGGAGGCTGCCGCCAGCCTGGGGCTCAATCCTCAGGGACACAAAGACCCAGAAAGAGACCAACACAGGGCTGCACTGGAGGCAGGGCCCTGGACGGGCACCTTAGCTCTGACACTAACTCTGTGCCCAGGAATTGACAACAGTGAGCATCACCATGGTACGACCGTGCGCAGGCCCCAGGCCAAGGGCTCCACAAGGCCGCACATAGCAATCCCCTCTGGCAGGTGCCATTATTAGTCTCCTTTTACAGATGAGAAACTGAAGAACAGTTTGGCCAAGTAACACGCCCCATTTAACAGAGCTAGTGAGGGTCCCTGGGTCAAGTTCACCCTGGGCCTTACTACTATGCTTTCAGCTGGTGCTAAGCCCTGACCCGGCATTCCATCACCAGCTTCAACACAGAGACCTGGGCTCTAATCTGGCTCCTGCATTTATGGGTCAGAAAACAGAAGCTTTAAGATGAGAGGACGTCTCAGGGACCCTGTGGATAAGGGTACAGATTCTGACTCGGAGGGCCGAGGGCCTTGGCACTCCCAGCCTGGGTGCTCTGGGACCCCATTTTGAGGAGCACTGCCTTCCACTGTGCTGCCTCGGCCAGCTGCTCTGATCAGAGAGCTCAGCCACCTTGGAGTCCAAATCCAGTGCCTGTTTGAACGCCCTGAGAGTTATAGATGGTCTTCATGATTCTAAATGGGTAAGATAAAAGCCAACGAATATTTCATGACAGGTGAAAATTACACAAACTTAAAATCCCGGTGCCATAAATAAAATTTTATTGGAGCACAGCCAGGCCAGTGATTCACCTGCTGTCTAGGGCTGCTTCTATGCACTCATGGCCTCGTGGAGCGGCTGTGACAGAGACCAACCATATAGCTCACGAGGATTTACTATGTGGCCCTTTAGGGAAAAAGTTTGCAGACCTTGGTTGCGTCCACCCTGTGAGCCAGGAGGAGTCCTCTGTGCAGGGCCTTCTTCTCCGGCCCCTGCTTTCACACCTCCAGGATGGGGAGCTAACTACCTTGCTGCACCGTGAGCTGAACTCTGCCTGTGAGGTCGCAATGCCCCCCTGGGTCTGTGCAATCAGGTCTTTCATCTAAAGAGCCATCAGTTTCCTTCTTCCTCTAGCACTGTCCTTCCTCACCAGGCCTCTGGGAAGGACAGGATGAGTGGTGGTGCCTTCACGTCACAGGTAGGAGATGGGCAATGGTCAGGGAACGAGGCATGGGAGGACCAGACCTGGAGCCTGCTCTCCTGTCCTTACAACATGGCTTGAATGCCGCTTGGGCTTCTAGTCCTGCCTCCCCAAAGGGCCCCTGAAGGGGGGTCCCTCATTTCTGATTGCTTTCTGCAGCTCCCCTGGTGAGGACTTCGCAGACCATCGACAGTTCTGACTTTTCACCTCTCCCTCAGCTCCAGGGCTGTCCCAGGCTCTGCATTCTTCTCTCCTCCCGCCCAGCATCCACCACCCAGGCTGCTGGGGTGGTGCCTGGGGACTGCCTGTATTCAGTCTCTGCAGCTGGCTGTCATCAATCTGCTGGGATTTGGACCTAAAGTGCCAGGGGTGAGCTGACAGCCAGAGATGAAAAATGGGATTCTTGGGTTGACTTCTGACATCAGCCTATAAAACATACCAGGAAGACTTATAGTACCTGCGAAGAAGAGGGCTGTCTACCTTACCGATTACTAAGGAGCTGGGCTTCTCTTGGCCATAGGCTGCTGCCCTGGGATGTTCTCCTAAGAAGGGCGAGTGCCCTGGAAGAGTGTGCAAACCCATGGGCATGTCCTCCTTTGTGGGGGATCCTTGTGTGGACCTGCGGGGCCATGGCGGCGGCAGGCGCAAAAGCAAGGCTGGGGTTGGATTCTGGCCCCAGGAGCTGTGAGACTCTGGCAGGGCTTCCTTGGCTCAGACTTACTTTTGGTGAAATGGGAAGCAGCAGAAGCTCACAGGGTCACCATGAAGATGAATACCAAGGACCCCGGCAGAATGCTCTTTACTCTCAAAATGTCACTTTTCTACTTTCTTCCCTCCTGGTGCCAGCATCATGCTGGGTGCTGGGTGGCTAGATAAGTGGGGGGCGGTTCCTGCTCTCAAGAAGTCCAGCCTAGCTGAGACAGACCCAAGAGGACAGCGGTGTCTCCGTGTGATGGTGGAGAGCTCATGCTTCCACACACCTGCGCTGCACAGGCGCTGTCTGGGACTAGCCTGCTCCGCACTGACAGCCACAGCTTCAGGGATTCTGGGAGGCAGGAGCCTGGGAGAGCGGGAAGCAGTGACTGGACCTGAAGGGCCCAGGGAAGGCCTCAGGGAGAAGGATGAATAGAGCTGCTCAGAGAGGAAACAGGAGCAGACATTCCAGGCTGAGTGTGGATGGTAGTCAAGTGCCTCTCACCCTAGTGGCATCATTAGAAGCCCCTGTCCTCAGGGATGCCAGTCCTACAAGCTTTCTTCTCATGAGGGTAGGTCGGTCGGCAGATCTGAGATTATTTCACTCCTGTGGCAATTACATAATCGTGTGGCCATCACCACACGGATGAGTCAGTAAGACATTAAGTATGGAAAGAAGGGCTTATCTAAGATGCCACTTTCCCAGTATGGATTTAAGTTTAAAAGTCATCAAGAAGAAGAAAGAACTTCAGGGCCCTCATGGTTACTTCATGCAAGACAGGACCACACCCAGACTGACTCTTTAGTGTCCCTTTGGCCTTGACCTGTGCTGAGGAATGGGCACCTAAGAGACCTACTGCCGGTGATCTCCAGGGATTCTCGATCCCCACTCAGTGGTATCTCAGTAACAAAGATAAAAGTTATTAAGAATTTCTTTCGCATAGTCCTGGCCGCGTGCTGGGCACTGCTTCTGGACCTCACGTTATGAACGAGTTTAATCTGCACAAGTCCAAGGAGGCAGGGATCCTTACTCCCTAACGACTATCGAGAGGCCCTGAGCACAGAGGCTCTGCTACATAACTCCGTGTCCTGGTGACAGGGCGGAAGACACTCAGTCCCGAGCGGGCCCGGAGCCCCGGGCTCCTGCGAACCGCACGTCTGGGCAGGTGCTCTCTGCACAGCCACCTGGGGGCCAGGGAGGCCGACCCGTGGTTTCCGAGATCACGCCAGCGAAGGGCTCTAGAAGCGGTGTCGCTCGGTGTAGCAGAAGAGGCCCGAGCGTCCTGAGCCTCGCGCGTCCTGAGCCTCGGGTCTGCGAGACCCGCCGGCCGGTCTCCCTCAAGTCGTCTCAGGCGCCAAGCCCTAGCCTCCCAGGTCTAGCGAGAAGGGACGTCTGATCCCGCTCAGGTATCCACGTCCCGGCAGCGCGGCGAGCCAGGAAGCAGCCCGCAACAGTCTGGCAGCGGGGCCCGCAGGAGAGCACGCGCGGGAAGCAGTCCACCCACCAACTCCTACCCAACCACGCTGTGCCTTTAACCCCGAAAACTTTCTCCCTCCGCTCGGGACCCCAGCACGCGCACATTGGCTGAGCCGCGCCCGCCTGGACCCGTCCGCTCTCCGTTCCTATTGGCACTCACAAGCATCCATCCCTATCCCGGCTTCCTAGTGGCCCGCGCTATTGTCAATCAAGAGTGGGCGGGGAAATGGGCGGGACGGCGACACGCCAGCCTTATCACCCTCCTAGCCTCCCAGCGCCGAGACTGGGGAACTACAGACTCCCCGGGGACCAAAGCCGAGTGAGGAACACTGGGGAGGGGCTGAGCGGGGCTCCAGGGACTTACCGATGCGCTGTCCCACCGGAGAGCTGAACGGGTTCCCCAGGAGAAAGTCCATCGCCGCGGCTGCCGCTGCCACCAACCC